ATGTTTTATTAAGAAAGCAACTTCTATGGATTAGTTATTGTTTATGGATAATGCTTGTGTCCTCCTACTTACGAATAATGAATCATTATTGTTTGAACATCATAATCGAAATCATTCATTATTTATCATCATCTAAATATCATATTTGCAAAACATTATTCGATTTGAAAGTCTTTAGTTATCCATATGCACAAGACAAATGATAAGTTTATCATGAGGATGATACTCGTTATCAAAACTGTTGATTGATTTAATACATATGGATGAATAAACAATTTTCAAATTGAATGATTTTTTTATAAATATGATTTTTGGATGATAATAAAAAGAAAGAACAGTTTTACTTAAGATGTTCCGGACGGCAAAGATTCTTTAATTGTAAGTGAGAGAACACAAACATTAATTATCCTTGTTTTATTGGAACCGAATGCTATGGTGGCGGTGAACCCATTTCACGTGAGTTCTTCTCCATTATTAAGGGAACTCTATCAATGAATAGGATCGGTGTCTAGTCGGGGTGGACAAACTACAAGATGTCTTATAAGAGGTGTCTATAATGACATGGTTTGTGTATCTACCCAAGTTTTTCTACTTCAAAAATCTCTCTGGAATTTTTTTTTTTAATTTAGAGAACCTCAATGGTACAAGGAATATTATTGGAAATCTCTCGGGATGTTACTGGATGTCATTATTTATAAGGGGTGTGCTATCCACACACTCCTTTTGACTTCTCTCATACTTCTTGTTAATTTCTGTCTTTTGATCTTCTTCAATTCATTCGATCTGACGGTCGAAAATTAAAAGGGTGTGAGATAAGTAAAAATGAGTGTGTGGATATCACATCCCTATTTATAATAATCGCGTATATCACATGATTAGTCATATGATGGAAAATAACTTTATACAACTACTAATAAGACATTATTGTCATCTTCATTTAATTGAAGATTGTTTCCTAATATCTTAGAATCCAAGCACATAGCTAAAAGTGGCTAACTTTAGACATGAAAGAAATCACACCGATATCATGTTAAGATTTTAGAAACGGGCCAACGGTCCACAACTAATCACTTTTATATTGTTTCAATTTAATCACATGCAGAGCTTGGAATGAGTTATATTTTATCACAAAACCTCGGTGTTAGATAACGAAATCATTCACTTATAAGTAATAATATATAATATCAAATTTCCAAAATGAGATTGCATTTGTTCGATATTTTCATCATCATTTCCTCTATATTTCTCTCCACACAATCATCTTGAAGAATTTTTATCGTATCGTTGAATCCAAGCACACAGCTAAAAGTGGTTGACTTTAATCATGACACTATAATTCAAATTTTAACCATTGTGATTAACACACTCCTGTTTCCATCCATTCCTCTCCGTCCAACCAAAACATAATATGCAAGAAACAAAGGGGTCAAAGACAAGTTGTTGGACTTCATGGTGGTATGCTTGGAAGGATAAGGTTTACATGACAAACAACTTCATTAACCTAATCTGTTTGCGTCCAAACTTTGACAGATGCATGTTGTATTGAATAATGCACATCTCAAACATGTGGAGTTGGCAAAGCATGTAAACTGCAGAAACAGAAAATTATACGTAGGAAAAAATTTAGATGCACAAAACGCAGAAAAATGAATGTATGGTAAAGAAGAAGAGATCCAAGAAAATACCAACAGGATCCTCTCCGGATTCTTTTGATGAGAATATTGGAAACTGTTAATCGTATTTGTTCATCGTACATCGTGCAATCAATTTTTGTTAAATATTTTTTATTTATTATTTTAAATAATTTATGATCTCATTATATACCATAAACGAATAAGATCGACGGATTCTCGAGATCTACAAAGAGGATCCGGATTGAAGAAAATATTCAAATCCCCAATAATAAGTACGGTCATAAGTCATAGACACTCAGTTTGCTTTTTCACTTTAAACTTCAAATCACGACTGAAGACCCTCACTTTTGTCCCCTCTGTTCTCGTATCCCAAACCTTTTAAACATCCCCAAGCACCCCTTTTTCCTTCTGCTTCCGGATCTGAAATCTCTCTCTTCTAATATTTTTTTTTTAACTTTAACGAAAAACTTTCGGTACTGTTTACTTTAACGAAAAATCATACTTTTACATTAAAAAGTTAATTATGATACTATTCACTTTATCCTTTATTTTGTCTTTATCGTTAAAACTCAAAGTTTTCAAGCTATTTTTATTAGTTTTCCTCTTTTTTGTCCTTCTAATTCCTTATATTTGAACGTTCACAATTAAGTTACATTCATATTTCATGTATAGTTCTTTATAAAAAGAGAAATACAAAGAGAAAAGTAAGAGAAAACGGAAGAGGAGGGGAGAGATTCATATTCCTTTGCTTCCAATGCTAATTTGCGTCCCAAATATTCCCTTCCTTTGTCCATTGAACTTTTTAAGTCACGCTCATAATCAAACACAATACATACTCAAAAGTTTAATCCACGAAGAAAAATTCTTATCAACATTCACAATCACATGCTGCTTGTATGATATAAAAATGCGATGGATACAAAAGATATCTCCTATGATGCTCCTAACTCGCGGTGCCTTGGAGTTTAGTAATACAGTAACCAAGTTCTTTTTCTTCAATTAGAATTAGAAAACTCCAAACTAATGATCTATTGATTAAGGGTTTGGGCCAGTTGATTTAAGCCGAAATAATATGACCCAAAAGGCAAAACAGAGACAAGAATGCCCGCAGCCCAAAAAAAAAAAGAAAGAAACAAAGCCCATATTTCACATCAAACTTTCCACGTAGCTAGAGAACTTTCATTGAATACTTGAGTTAGAGAAGTTGACAAGTATGCTTATTCTCTTACACAAGATATTGAATCCACATTTTGTGGATGAAAGTAGTTTAGAATATTGTTTTGTCACGAAAAAAATTGTTGATCATTCATTTGTTGTACTCAATGGAATCCAGAAGTTGAATCATAGCTGATATTGGCAAATTTTGTTGGAGAAATTTTGTAAACATGTGGTTTATGATGGTGATGAAGGACGAAAAATTGCTTCAAGGCACACATAAATACGTTATCCTTCAAACTCTATTCCCCCTAATACAGTGTGGATATGTGAATAAGCCTTGTTGATACAATGAAGCCCGGCCTATTGTTTGGCAAAGTTTTGCCGACTTCTAAACATCATCTGGAGTTGGGTTGCAACCTTCGGTAAAGAGTTTCAAATTAATAGCCGTTAGATTCATCCAAAAGAGAATCAAGGGCCATTATTTGATTAACCAAGGGACACACAAGTTCTTAAGTGACAAGTCCAATTCGAGAACACTCTCGGATAGTAATAAGTAGAGATTCCCATCAGACTGGCTACAAGTCCCATGTCTTCCAGACTTGAAGTTGGACATGCATCTGGAGAATTAGCATGGGTTACAATAAAAACACGACAATCATCGAGAGAAGTTGGAAGCGACGAACCCTTTTTCGAAGCACAAACTTTCGCACCAACGAACAATTCTCTCGATTCTTCCCTTATGACTTGTCGAACGGAGTAAGTTTGTATCGGCATTAAATCAGAGAGCACCAGTATGCTTATGATTTTTCCTTCATGCACAAACCAAGCACAGTTCATGCACCATGGCATGTCATTTATAGGTCGACGAGAACCCCATCAAGGACAGCTTGCCGCCAACTCTTGCATACCACACCGAACCGAAAACGATCATGAAACGAGAGATGCCGAGCCACTAGGCTTAAGATTTCAATGCAGAGATGAGAGCACATGGATGATCTAGGTCTTTCCATGACGCATGTGTTCACAAATGATAAAACTGCAGATGTATAATACATGAAGACAGAAATTAGTGGTGAGAGCCACAAGGAAACTCCAATTGCTAACACAACACTCTATTTCCCAAGGTTTCAATTCTAATCCAATATTTATGTTCCCCTCCTTTGCTCTCGTACATTTAGACTTCCCCTAGCATTCTTTTTCCTTCTTATGCTAACTTGTGTCTCAAATATTCCCTCTCTTTGTTTGGACCAAAAAAGCACAATACACATTGGGAAGTATATGAGGCGAGATAAAAGTTTATGTCACGTGAAACGGGTATCTCATTCGTATTTACGTTTGGTCACATAGCAAATACGAAATATTCGTTTTACACACCGCTTAGAAGTAGCAAGAGGCTCCAAACTAAATGAGTTATTGGTAAAAGTGTTTGGACTAATTGATCTAAGTTGAAATAAAATGACTTCAAGAAGAAAAATAGGGAGGAGAAAAGCCTCTTTACACGTTTAAGAGTTGTTAGAATATCGCTGGCTGCACACAAAAAAAAAAAAGGGGTTAAATCTTCATTTTTATTATGCAATCAAATTAGGAAGTTGAATCATGGTTGGCCTTAGCAAATTAATATATTTTCGGCTTTTTAGCCAAAATGATCATTGAGATTTGCATAACTCCTCACTTTAGTTCCTGAGATAATAGAAGTGGTCCATAAGTTTGTCCACCATCAATCATTTTGATTATTCCTTGAAAAATCTTCATTAAATAAAGATATAATGACACAAATACCCTCAAATTTTGTCAAAATATTATGGCCCATTGTTTATTAAATTGAAGGTATTTTTGTCATTTGGTCCTTAATGTTTCAAGGAATGACCAAAATGATTGATGATGGACAAAATCAAGGACCACTTCTATTGATTTCAAATCTCATGGACTAAAGTGATGAGTTATGTAAATCTTATGGACCATTTTGGCTAAAAAACCTATATTTTCCTCGGATTAGGAGGTTAACACTGTTAAGAGAGATTAATGAAGAGCCGGTTGTAAAAAAAAATGAAACACGCCATAGAAACAAAATGAATGCAAAGTCTTATTCAATACGTATTTAGAGTGAACGGACGAAAATGACATAAAATAACTCAAGATTTACAAAGTAGGAAAAAAGTGGAACAAATTGAGTTTTAGGTGGTTAAAGTGAGATTAAGTTACAATTTCAAGGGCATTTCAACAAAATAAGAAAAGAAAAACTCTGTGCGTGCAAAGTGCGCACCTTTCTCCTCCTCCTCTCTCTTACAAGCTCAGTCTGAGCAGCGATGGCGAAGCTTGCAGTCATGGTGAAGACAAGAAATTAAGGAATCAGATCACTAGCCTGATATTCAAGGTCGGTACCCTTTTCATTACTCTGTCAATTTCTTTTGGCTTTCAATGTTTGATTAATTTGATCAACGTAATCAGGTTCTTGTGATTCAGTGAGTGAGTAATCCGTCTTTTTGATGGGTTTATTATTTCGTATCTGAATTCCTCTTCCGAATAAGTTTTTAACTGTTGGGTTTGCCAATTTTATAAATTTGTGTATAAATTAAGAAATGCATTTAAATTTGTTCAATAGTTTTAAAGTTGGTTTTGTTGGAATTTACTGACTGGAATTTATGAATTCCTTACCGAGTCTCATCTTAAACGGAAACCTTCCTCTCCTCCTCGACAGCAGCCATCGCCAATTCTCCGTCTCTGTCTCTCTCTCTCTGGTGACTTGCGAGGTACGACCACCATCACCAACCACATCACCGCCGTCTCGTCCCAATCGCGACAACCCTATCATCGCCATCTAGAACACCACCATCATCCTGCAAATCGAAATCGACCACCTTCATCTCATGTCCTCCCAAATTAAGGTAGTATAATTTCTTAAATCTTTACGCTTTGGAGTCTTTGCATTCTGCAATCTCTTATTCTCTATAATAATTTTTTAGATTTAGGGATCGGTGAAACTAGGTGGGAAAGCGCAGGTCAGGACTCAGCGCTATGGAGATAGAAAGGCTGATGGATGGATCCTTCCGTTGAAAACAAAAAAAACTCAGCTCAATCATTTCTTTCAGGTAAACACTGCTTTGCTTTAATTTCTTTCAGGCATTTCTTGATTTGGGTGGATTGGATTGGATTCAGATCTCTTTCTTTCAATCATGTCATTTTCCGCATAATTATATTATATGCCTTTTTTTGCACGTCTCCTTTTTCGCCTAGCTATCATTTTTGTCTGTGATGCCCATTTTAAGCAAACTACTTTTCCGATTTCTTGACAAAGATGGAAACTTTGTGGCTTTTGGCTAATCATGGCAGCTGGGTTTTGCATTCCTGTGCTCTGTTTGGTATTTAGGATTGTCTGATTGAATCCAGCGAGTTATCCAATCCAATCCTGGACATCGAACAAGGCATGACAGATTTGTTTGTTCAATGCTGATTTTGTAGGTTTTCCAGCTCACTTTTTATGTACATACTGAAGTTTGCTTGCGTAGACCTTTTCTGCAGCTTTGCCTGGCTATTTTCAATTTTGCTTCATCGAATTGAGATTGCGAAAGTTATGTCGATTAGGTCACATTCAGTTGAATGGTTTTCGATTTGGTTTGAATTTGATCAATTGAGTAGTCAGGAAGTAGGACATTGATTGGTTTTCAACTTTAGACTATTGTGCTATCTCCTAGTTGACTTGTAACAATAACATTTAGGGATCGTTTGGTGTCCGGGATTGGATTGGATCGGATCATAATCCATGGTATGTGTGAAGGTAGAGGTGAATGATTTTTCATCAAAGGGATTAGACATTAAATTGAAACTTATCTCTCTTCTAATCCTACAATCAGTGTATTTCAGAGTGGGGTTTGACGGAAAATTGAAGGTGAAGTGAGCGTTAAAGAGCTGTTATTAAATTTGGGATGCATTCTTGTTGGTGATGCATCTATGGAACCCAAATCTCCTTCAAAACTTAAGCTCTCAATCATGGGATCCACTCAATATAAACAGGCATTTAAAACAAGTATTATGATCATAGTTATAATGCTCTTGTTCTTTGGTGCCTATTTCGGATTTAATTCTGTGAAAGGCCGTAGTGCTAGTGCATCTAAAGGGTCATACTTTACTGTGGTTGTTGATTGTGGAAGCACGGGTACCTGAGTTAATGTGTACGAGTGGCTGGGAATGGGTGTTAGTGGTAAGGAATTACCTACATTGTTGTACTCTTATCCGGATAATTCAACTAAGGGTATGGTTTCAAAGAGCTGTAAGTATCACTGTCTGCAAACTGAGCCTGGTTTGGATAAATTTGTTGGAAACTTGTCGGGAGTAAGAGCATCTTTGGAACCACTAATTACATTGGCAGAACATAAGGTTCCTTCGGAAAGACGCAGAGAGACTCCTATTTTTGTTCTAGCTACTGCTGGATTAAGAAAGAGGTCGCACTTGGTGCGATGGCAAGTGCCTTCGCCCATGAGCGGTAGGTCTCGGGTTCGAGACTTGGGAGCAGCCTCTCCATAAATGGGGGTAAGGCTAGCCGACATTCACCTCTCCCAGACCCTGCGTAAAGCGGGAGCCTTGTGCACTGGGTACGACCTTTTTAGGGATTTAGGGTTTTCTAGATATATGCCCTTTTTGACTCTGCAATCTCTGAGTCTCTGCATTCAGTTATCATATGGGATTTCAAGAAAACCCCAAACCGAATCTATAAATTTGCCTTATATGAATTGGAAGGTTCATAAATTTGCCTTCATAGGATTACCGAATGAAAGCCCCACATGCTGATGCTCTGATTAACATAACCAAAATTGTTGTGCTCGAACGAGAGATAGTAATGGTGCACTAGATTTAGGGATTTTGTTGGGTTCTTGAATCTTGACCTCTGTTCTATTCGAATTTCAAATCTTTAGGTGAATTGAATTTGAATCTTCTGTTGAATTAAATTGAATTTGAATATATGTGTGTCCTGTGATAGTTTCAAACTTGTATATATTTGAATATTCTGTTTCAGATTTTAGTATTTTTATTTAGATTATGTTTGGTTGATTGGTGGAACGTTTCTGTAAATCCAAGTAATGTAATTAGATAATTGTTGGTCGATGAGAAAATTTAGTGGAGAATTTTGTAATTCCAGTCAATTAAGTTACACAGCTGCATTTAGTTTCATTGTGGACCAACAATCTCTGATAATATGTAAGTCCACTTGATTCAAGTTCTGAAATTTAATTGATTCGAAATCCCCAATTTGACGTTGAGATGCAATATGATCAGGAGTAGGTATTCAAAATCCCTTTTAAGTTTTACCTATGACCATTTCATGTAAATTGGATTTGAATGTAAATTCCTCTTTATAAGCTTTTATTTGTAACTATTGGCAGGGAAATATGTATTTCACCCCTCTGAGAACAGGGAGAAGGCTGCGAACGCCTTGTACTAACAGCAGAGCCTTTCTCATTATTCTATATGTTCAAATGATTTATGTAGTCGCTAAGTTAGCCTGTAATTTATCTTTTAATGCAATAGTCTGTACTTGGGAAAATATTTACAAAGTAGATGATACAGATTTTCTATACACAATCCAAACAACCTATTCTTTAAAAAAAAAAATAAAATAAAGTAAATTGGACCCGTGGACTCGGCCCGAATCGGCCCGTTTAAAACGGGCCGGGTTAGGTCCGGTTCCAAATCTCAAAATTCATATACCCGGCTCGGCCCGGCCCGTTGCATTTTAAAACGGGTTGAGTCCGGTTCCTACAAATTTGGGCCCGGCCCGGCCCGTGCCCACCCCTAGTATCAGTTTTAGTCTATTGAATTTCTGTTTCGAATGTATTTGATTATCGTATACTGACCAATTTGTTTTCGGAAAATAGTTTTATTTTCTCAATTCCTAGTTCCTCAGTTGTTTTTATTGTGATTGTGTTTCTTGCTGCTTGTGATTGGATATAGGGTTGAGTAGTTCATGCTTTTCGGAAACTGACGAGGTTTTAGATGGGGGATTCTGAGGTTAATGTGAAGGCTCAGAAGACAGTTTTTGTAACTGTTGGAACTACTAGTTTTGATGCTCTTGTTAGAGCGGTGGATACACATGAGTTTAAAGAAGAGTTGTCGAAAAGAGGGTATACTCGGCTTCTAATCCAAATGGGCGCGGATCCTATATTCCAACAAAGGTATTTTTGATTTTTCAGGTTGCACGAATTATGCGATTAGTAGTTGTTCTTCACAATCTAATTTAAAGTAACAAACTTTAAGGGGTGAAAAGTGGATGTTCAAAGAATGCATTGTCCCGTTTGCTATTTTAGATTTCGGTTCAAGTTGCTCCACCGCTATAAAAGCATGGGAAGTTGTAGTGTTGATATTCAATTCCTATGTGGATAGAGGTTAAATGTTTGTCTGTGATTCAATGAATTTAGAACTATCCCAACGACGAAGAAATTAATCTTCTAATAAGCTATTGGAAACTCAGCAAGATAACTGTTATTCGTTATTTAGAACATATGCGTTGGTCATAGTCTATCCATGCTTTTTTCGTTTTCTTTGTTTCCCCGTCAACATTTTTTATGATGCAGGCTGAAGGAGGAGATGAGCCCCTTGCTGTTGATTACTTCACTTTTTCTTCAAGCATTGCAGACCACCTGAGAGCCGCATCTCTTGTGATCAGTCATGCAGGTATTATTCTGATAGCGTCTTCTTATCCTTCTGCATTTTTTACCATTTGGTCAATAAAAGACTTGCGGGTGTTCTGATGTATTTCTAAAAAGCACGTAGTTTCAGCTAAAAGACTTGCAGCGCTAATTTGTCATGTTAGAATCTTACACATTGCAAGGAAGCAAATGTGAAAGAGATCCTCATGAGGACTCGGTAACTATTATGTATTAGTTTCATCTCTTTTCCTATCATAAATGTGACACTCATCTAGAGTTTGTAATTTTAGTTTAGTGCTTTTGATAGTTTTTGAATTCATCAATTTTCAAAGAATTTTTGTCAAAATTGTATAACGTAAAAGTACAGACGAAGTGTAAAAATTATTGTTGATTGTGAGCCATTTATTTACTTTGATGCTTCAGATATTTTCTTGGCCACGATGTTTTATGTGAATATAATTTACTGTGGCGCAGGGTCAGGTAGCATATTTGAGACATTGAGGCTTGGTAAGCCCTTAATTGTTGTCGTGAATGAAGATCTGATGGATAACCATCAAAGTGAGTTGGCAGAAGAACTAGCAGACAGGAAGCATTTGTACTATGGTCGCCCGCAGACACTTCATCACGTTGTAGCAGATATGAATTTGGATTCTCTCGTTCCTTACCATCCAGGTGATGCGACACCAGTTGCCAAGCTTATCAACAGGTTCCTTGGTTTTGCAGATGAATGACGGAATTGTAAAACGTTACGACTTTTTTACTGAATCTATCGATGATGTCTTTTGCATGTTATCGATCAAGATGCATGTTTGGTTGGCTAGGATCTCAAATACTTTTGGGTATCAGATTGGGAAGACTTAGGGCTGGTTTGGTATTGCTGTGCTTTGAAAAAAAGCTGCTGTGAGAATAAGCGGCTGTGCTGTGAGAATAAGCGGCTGTGAAATAAAGCAGCAGAGCGTTTGGTAAACTTTTTTGTAAAAGTGCTTTTGGAAAAAAAAGCAGTCTGATAGTGGGTCTTTTCATTAAAGGAGCACCGTAGCTCCATGTGCTTTGAAAAAAAGCCAGTTTTCCAAAGCTGCAAATAGCAGCTTCAGCTTTTTCCTTTGATTTCAGCTTATTCTCACAGGAGCTTCCAAAATAAGCCTTTTTTTTTCAGTTTACCAAACACCTAAAACCCTCACAGCTTTTTTTCATAGGTGCTTTTTTTTTAAGCACCTCACTCCCAAACTAGGTCTTAATTTCATTTGCGTAGTTGAGACTCTTTAACATGTTATGCACCAGCTAACTTGTACCAAATGAAAGGACCACATGTTACTCTCACACAAAAAGAGCAATTTAGTTCTCTCTTGGTATGAAACCGATTGTTCTTTATAATCCTCGAAGGACTTACCTGTCACGGAATATATTTCCCATGTCTATGTGACACCCTCACGCAATGCCTCTCTTCCTCCTCACGTGACTTATTTTGGGACTTACCGCGTGAGGGTGAGACAGACACGGGGTATGTACCCGATGACAGGTATGTCCTTCAAAGATGATAATGAACTTACTTTTTTTTAACCCTATAAAACCTAGTTGGAAGGACCTGTCGCATGTAATGTGTATGGGCATTTTGTTTCAACTTATTCTCCTTGTCTTCTGGGTTTGAAGCTGCTATTTTACTGTTTGTTTATTCGTTTTGTGGCAATTATGTTAGGTTGGCACATTTGCCAAGTTCACAACCGGTGAAAAAAGTCATTATCCACATGTCAGCAAGTCATATAAGCATCCAGATAATGCGGAATTTTCGGAAGCCGTGGATTTTTATATAATTAGGTAATAATGGTTGGGGATTTTTTATGAGTGTTATATTATTCACACACCTATTTTTATCTCTCATACGTATATTTCAATTTTCGGCCGTTGGATCGAATGAATTGAAAAAGATTAATGGGTAAAAAGTAACAAGGATTTGTGGGAGGTAAAAAAAATGTGTGAATAACACTACCCTTTTCCAGTATGTTAGGCGATATTTTATACTCTTTTTTTTTTTTTTTTTTTTTTTTTTTTTTTTTTTTGTTATTAGAAATTTGTTGATGGAGCTTTAGAGTGCTAATACTACGAGTGTTTTTAATTGTTAAATTTGATTTTCACAACTACCGACGAAGAAAATATTGAATGATTTGAGTGGAGAATCGATACGAAAACCTCCAAGGCCTTCTGAAGGACAAAGACAATTCCTATAGAAAATACAAAAGAAGAGACGAAGCAAGTACACAGAACCAGCTATTCACGAGGCAGAGATAGAGATAGAGAGAGATAAAGAGGGATCATGTGAAATGACCAAACTTAAAAGAGAGAAAGAAAGAGAGATGGCATCCTACTTAGAAGGGAAATAAACTCAACCCCCAACTCTACACCATATGCAAACTTACACCTCACCTCTCTCTCTCTCTCTCTCTCTCTCTCTCTCTCTCTCTCTCTCTCTCGTGCATTGCTTTGTGCTCTCATGGAAGTTAACACCACCGCTGCTGCATCCGCAGGGCCACTTGACCTCGCCGCAAAAAACCACACTCATAAACACCAACCGTACAGCCACCACCAACACCACCAGGGAAACTTTCCTTCAAAATCTGTTCTTATCATCATCATCTCCATCATCTCAGTTATGGCCCTTCTTGCTATAATCTTCATCGTACTAATGCTTAGACGGCTCGTCAAGTCGACGAAAACAAATGGCAATATTTACAAAGAGAACACCGGCTTGATCAATACAAGTTGCAGGTCCATTGCTCAAACCGCAGTGGACTTCAATTCTAGCCCAGGTAATTAAACATCGCCCCATCTTTTATTTCATTTTATTTGTACCAACTACCAGGAGAGAAACTTAAATACATACATCAAGATGCCACTATTGCCATATCCCAATTCAATCATGCAATGCCATGTGCAACGCACGGCAAGAAATAATTCGCTTAGGATAACGCCAAAGTGACATTGCCGTTATGTTATGTGAGAACGTTAAAACGCATGACAGTGTCAATAACATTTAAATATACTGTTGTAAGGAAGTTGTACTCCTGTATTAGGAGCTACTTTGATATTAAACAGATGATTTTGAGCAAGTGCAAGTCCAAGTTCTAATGTTGGTACGCGTGAAATTGGGGCAGATGTGAAGGGTGGTTGTCTCCAAGGAGGGAATTCTGGAAGGCCATTAAAGGCACCTGCAGACAAAGGAGTTCAAGTGTTCTCGTACAAAGAACTTGAGGAAGCCACTGATAAATTCAGCGAGGCAAATGTGATAGGGCATGGTGGGTTTGGAGTGGTGTATAAGGGGGTCCTAAGAGATGGAACAGTGGCAGCAATTAAGATGCTGCGCAGGGAAGGCAGGCAAGGGGAGCGTGCCTTCAGGTTTGAGGTGAGTGACTTCATTTATTAGCTTTTTGTTCCGATTTGATCCTTGTATTTCTTTACTTAATTTTCGTTTCTGTCTTGTTTTTTATCCCACTTCTTTTCTGAATACATTTGACTTGAAAATTAATGTCATTTTGTCATTTTTAGACGTGCTCATTTGTTTGTCAACACAAACTCATGTGCATTAGAAGATACATAGTACATTAACAAGAGAATTTTTTTTAATTTTTTTTTAACAAACGTTATTATCTACACTAGGGGTGGACTTAGCCTCACAATGGGTTAACAATAATGTGGTTCAAATTCGTTTTTTATGAGAATCGAACCTAAGACATTTCACTTATAAGTGAAAAGGAATACCATTAGACTGTAGTACTAAGTGACATTAATAGGAGGACTTATCTACACCCCTTAGAACGCCACTGTAAAACTCTCGACCACTAACACGATGTCATTTAATTTTTAGTTTCATACATAGGCTGCCATTGCATGATTAGTTTAACACAGCACATTTTTTGCATCTCCGTTTCATTTAACTCCTTTTCCATGAATAAGGAAGAGAACTTGCCTGAAATATGGACATATATGTCCATCACGTGATGAGATGCAACAGGAAGATGAGTATATCCTGTAGCAAGCAAGTCCTCTTCCATTAATAAATCTTTGGCACAAGTGATTTAGGGACAAAGAACAAGAAGGATATATATATATATATATATATATATTTATCCCAACTCCTCCACTAAAAGATTTTTGGATCGCCTCTGAAAAAAAGATTTTTGGCTCTCCCTTTCTCGTACACACACAAAACAGACTTCTTTCAAAAAATACTATAACCTTCTAGTCCTAGGGCTTATTTGGATATGTTTTTAAAATGATTGAAAACGCTTTTAATAAAAATGTTTTTGGATTCCAAAAGCACTTTAAATGCTTTCTGCAAGAAGCACCAATTATGTGCTTGTGCTTCTTCCAGGAAGCACTTTAAGTGTTTTTTTTCTTCAGAATTTACTTGCATTTTTTCTAAGGATTGGTTCTAAAAACATTTTTACCAAAAACTTTTGCAGTCATTTTAAAAGTGCATCCAAACGAGCTCCTAGTGTTTTATGATTGTCTAACCTCACTTGGGAAAGCAAATCTTGTGGGTTGACTTAAGCAACCCTCCCTCACACACACATTATGCTTCCTTCAAATGTTTTGATATAGGAGTTTTCTTTATAAAATGTGTGCATTATATCTTATTAAACAAAGTTAGACCCTAAATTTCAGGATTCAAAATCATTCTAAACTGTTTTATTCAATTCCTGCACATGGGTTTGAGAGAAAACTAAAAATAACAACTGCGTTTGTCTTTTTGTTTTTTAGTAAGTTTGAAGGATTTCGACCTCTGAACATAAAATACTCTTATCCGCTATCACCACTAGGCTACCCCCAATGCCTTTTTATCTTCCCGTTTTCTCCTTACTGTAGGTGGATCTACTAAGCCGGTTGCACTCTCCATACTTGGTGGAGCTACTTGGCTATTGTGCTGACCAGCACCATAGGCTCCTCATATTTGAATGCATGCCCCATGGTACTCTGCAACGCCATCTCCATCCTACAAACAATCATCAGCCGTTGGATTGGGGGACCCGACTGAGGATAGCCCTTGATTGTGCTGAGGCCCTTGAGTTCCTCCATGAACATGCAATCCCATCTGTTATACACCGTGACTTCAAGTGCAGCAATGTTCTACTAGATCAAAATTTTCGTGCCAAGGTGTCGGATTTCGGATTGGCCAAGATGGGTTCTGACAAGATCAACGGTCAGATTTCAACGCGTGTGCTAGGGACCACCGGTTATCTGGCACCAGAGTGAGTGCTGCATCATCTGTAATGGAGCCCCCTCTCACTAGCTACCACTCAGATGCTAACAAACATATAGGCACTGCAATAGAAGCATGCATGCACATGGGTGTATATACACTGTCACTATTATTTTAGCTGTCATTTTTTTATCATCTTCAGTACTGTTACTTGGGTAGAGCAAAATGGACTATAACAAAAGAGAAGTAATTTTCGCACATTCGTTTTTATTTTTTTTTGTCAACACTTGGTAATTCAAATTGTTGAATTGAATAAAACAAATATATAGAGACTTGCAAAAAGAGAACAGATGTGTGCGGAAATCATTTTATTAAAAGAGAATTCAAATGCCTGTGTACAAGAAGTGCATTGTGTAAGTACTAGTTTCTTAACTTAATATCTGTGATCGATCTTTTATTTTTCGTTAATTTTTTGGACCTTTGATGATATAGGTATGCCTCGACTGGAAGGCTCACCACAAAATCAGATGTATACAGCTACGGCGTGGTTCTTTTAGAGCTCTTAACAGGGCGTGTGCCGGTAGACACAAAACGGCCTCCTGGAGAGCATGTCCTTGTTTCATGGGTACGTCAATTGTAAATCTGTTAACAGATGAGTATGCAGG